TCTCTCTCTCTCTCTCTCTCTCTCTCTCTCTCTCTCTCTCTCTCTCTCTCTCTCTCTCTCTCTCTCTCTCTCTCTCTCTCTCTCTCTCTCTCTCTCTCTCTCTCTCTCTCTCTCTCTCTCTCTCTCTCTCTCTCTCTCTCTCTCTCTCTCTCTCTCTCTCTCTCTCTCTTCTTTCTCTCTCTCTCTCTCTCTTCTCTCTCTCTCTCTCTCTCTCTCTCTCCCCCAAGTAATTCAGTGCTGCTGCGCAAGCACTTAACAGCGCCCTCTATCATTACAGGTTGATCTAACAGCGCCCTCTATCATTACAGGTTGATCTAACAGCGCCCTCTATCGTTACAGGTTGATCTAACAGCGACCTCTATCGTTACAGGTTGATCTAACAGCGCCCTCTATCGTTACAGGTTGATCTACACGCTGCGACTGCAGGTATTTGAGGTGCTCACGCTCGCTCTCGGCATAATCGTCGTGATGCGCAAGAGCCACGCGCCGCCGTCCGACGACTCCAAGGTGGAGCCACCATCGGCGATCGCTCGCAAGGCGCTCACAAACACCGTCGAACAGCTGCTGCTGTGCGTCATCTGCCAGGGGGCGCTGGCGACGTACCTCGACGAGGCGACGATGAAGCTCATCCCACTACTCGTCACGCTCTTCGTCTTCGGCCGCGTCACCTTCTACGTCGGCTACCTGGGGGCGCCACCGACGCGGCGCGCGTACGGGTTCGCGGCGACGTACTTCCCGACGGTGGTGACGATGTTCTGCTGCGTGTATTACGCGGTCGCGCGCGGCCCGGGGTACGGGCTGGGTGGTCGCGGAGATTAGATACCTCTCCTCCTCCCCTCCCCTCCCCTCCCCTCCCCTCCTTCCGCGCGCGGCTCAAGGTACGGTGGTCGCGGAGGTTAGATACCTCTCCCCTCGCCCCTCCCTTCCCCTCTCCGTGCGCGGCCCGGGGTACGGGCTGGGTGGTCGCAGAGGTTAGATACCTCTCCCCCTCCCCTCCCCCTCCTCGCCCCTCCCTTCCCCTCTCCGTGCGCGGCTCGGGGTACGGGCTGGGTGGTCGCGGAGGTTAGATACCTCTTTCTGTTTCCTCCCCTCCACTCCCTCTCCTCTCCTTCTCTTTCCTCACCGTTCTTCCTTCCGCTCCCCTCTCCTTCCCTCCTTCCTTCTCTTTCCCTCCAACCCCTCCCACCCCTCCCATCCTAGTACTACCCGGGGTACAGGATTTAGCCAGCGTGTCTAGCTTGCTCTCCCTCAGTGTTAGAATGCACGTACATCTGTAGTATGTCTATCTCTATAGATATATGAATATATATATATTATATATACGCTTGCTGCTGCTGTTTCATCGGTGTATTGGTGCGTGTATATTTCAGTGTTAGTTCGCGCGTATAGCTATGGATATGTATGTATAGCTATAGCTATATATAGATATATAGATATATAGTATAGCTATGGATATATACGCGCTGTTTCGGAGTGTATTATTCAGTGTACGTGTCCGTCTTACCTCGCGCGTATATATATCTATATGCCACTATAGTATATTGAGTGTTGGAAACAGCAAGCCCGTCCTTCAGTCAGGCTGCGCTAACTTCTGAGCGGGACCGACTAACCTTTTTATGATATGTTAGATGACATGGAAAAAAATTAACCGTTTTACGTGCGGCATGAAAACTATGTAGTTTCTTGTGACAGGGTTGTAATAATCGTGTAATGTTCCGTAGCTAGTTATAGATAGATGGGTAGGTATAGATGTGGACGCATCTGTTGCACAAATATTGCGAATGAACATGTTACGCACAGTTTTGCACTGATTATATAAATCGACTATAAAACACACGTATTGAGTTCACTGTTACTATGTGTGTGTGCGTGTGCGTGCTTGCGTGCGTGTGCGCGCGTGTGTGTGCGCGTGCGTGCGTATGCGTGCTCGTGTGTGTGCGTGCGCGTGCGTGCGTGCGTGCGTGCGGGCGTGCGTGCCTGGCAGCGCTGCGCCCGTTCATTCTTCCGTTCCCGTTTCTTGACCTTCTAGCGTATCTATATCCGCGTGCGCGCTCTCTCTCTCTCTCTCTCTCTCTCTCTCTCTCTCTCTCTCTCTCTCTCTCTCTCTCTCTCT